TGTTTAGGTTTTATACCAATTTGAACAATCACTTTTTAAAGCAATAAATATTGCTGAAGAGTGAAGGTATTTAAAAAAAGTGGTGTCATGGGAAAAAAAATGTCTTTTTGACACTATGTCTTATTGCAGGTACATTTGTCCATGTTTGCCAACTGTTATAGAAAGCATTAAACTAGGACTAGAAGTAATGGCAAGAACAGATTTGATTTATACAAGAACATTTGAATATTGCAGTAACACTAATAACCAAAGTCAATCCAGTCATTCTAAGTTGAGTTCTGTATACAAATTGACTGCAAATATATTTTCCTTTCTTATACTAGAGGCAACTGAAAATTTCTTGGCCCAACCAATAAGCCATATCGGGAAGAAAAAGAAAAAAAGTTGGTCAGATTTTGAGAAGCAGTTTTGTCAAAAACTTTTCAACACTACTTTATATAAATTAGGTCCCTCCACTAATTTGTGATATCTAAGGTTTAAAATGAATTTTTAAAATGAAAAAAATTTTCTTGGAGTTTTCATTTTAGTTTTAATTGAAAGCTAAAAGGATTAAATTTACTATTTTCAGTAAGCAAAATAGTCTGTTGTATTTCAAACAGACATTATATTGATTGGAATTGATTTTAAAATTTTTTTTGCTAAAATAGCTGATTAATGTTCTTTTTTAGTCAATGTAATTCTCTTTATTAAAATTTTTTCCAAAAATAAAATATACTTTTCTGAAACTGAGGAATATTAGCTGATTTAAAGTATAAATAATCTGACTGGAAACAAATATTATTTACTCTAAGTTGAAAATAGCAGAGAATTTTTTTTTTCAGAGCAAGTTTTCAGTAGTGTTCCTGCTTAACAAAAGAAAAAAAAAAATTACTAAAATTCTGCAAGAAGCCTTGCTTTTAACTAATATGAAGTGGCTGAAATTTTAATTTCTCAAAATTTCTTAAAATTAGTAAGTGGGAGTAACATCTAAAAGAAACATTTTTAGCAAGAATTTCTAAAGAAAAAAAAAAATCAAAATAATTTAATTCATTTGTGAATAAGTCCTGAAAGTTTTATTTAAATCCAACAATTATTTGATGTTTGCTAGAATTTACAAACCAATGTGTTTTTTGCCCCCCACCAAAGTGCTAAACTACATTAATCTTTAGCCTACCCACTGACACACACACACACACACACACACAAAAAAAAAAAACGCAAAACAAAAAAGATTTTTTAACCAAAAATTTTGAACATGCTAGAAAGGATTTAAAAATGTAATAAAATGAAAAAAATACTTTGGTCTTTCCCCTTAATAATAAACATTTTGATGATAAAACTTTGTTTTTATCAAGTACAGGGCCTTTTTTCATCATGGTATTCTCTTTGAAGATTTTTTTTTTTTTGGTTTTTATTGCTTTATTTTCAATCACCTCCTAGTAGCAATAAAAACATCTTAATGATAATTTAGAGAAAGATTAAGTAGGTCAGGTTACTGTTAGTTTTTTTTTTATTTAGTAACTTTTTGCAATGGTTGTAAGAAGAAATTGAATACCAACTTTGCCGATGATACCGAAAACCATTCATAAATCACAATATTCCCACTTTCTCCAGTTGAAGATTTTACAACCAATCAGATAAGATATATGAAATGCTTATCATCAACAATTCTAAATATGTTCTGCATTAAGTTTCCCCTGCCCTTGAAATTAAGACAAGGCAAAAAACAAAAAAAAACTGCTTCTTTAACAAATTGGTGCCAACTTATAACAAATGCTATTATTTTTTTTTTATTTTATTCATTTTCCATGTTGAGGGGAGATGCTAAAATAGATGCCCATAAGATTTCTTCTTGTCGTATCTCTTTGGTTAGCATCTTTCAAAGGGGAAAATGCTAGCAATTATCAAAATATTTCAAATTATTTGATTGAATTTATTCTGTCTAAGAAAATGTAGATGACACTTAAAATCCTTAGAAACAATGGACAATAGAGTTAGAATACTTTAGAGGAATTAAATGAGGTAAATTTTATATCAGGTCACTCTTCAAGTGTTGCGGGTACCTTATAAGCCAGTACTACCAGCTGGTTTAGTCAAGTCCTCTGTGACTAAAATGGTTCAGCCACCTGGTTTTTCTGGGGAGGTGGCTGGATAGATATCAAGCAAGATTAAAAACAACACTTGTCAAAAGGCAAATGAACATTCTTGTAGGGTCAATGACCATCTAGCAGAATGGGGTAGACATAGCTATGTATACAGTTAGTGCAGAGATGACATGGCACTGCTGGGCAGAGGGCTTCCCAGGCTGGACTATGCCCAGGGCAGGAGGCTTCCCCCTATGGAATCAACAGCCACATGTCTGTGACTAAGGTAATCTTTCAAGTTGGAGGACATTTGTTGTCGTTTGACTTGAAGAAGGATGACCTCTGCCAGGTGTACTTGCCAAAGACATGATATGTATAAATGAATACCTCTCCAGCTTTCACTCCAGATATATAGAAGGAACTGGCTGGGTATACAGGGACCCTATGAACATAGTCACAGGACTGATGATGAAATGAGGCAAAATTATAATTCTTATAGCAATTGCTGACTAGCAAGAAACAGCTTTGACCGACTCTATTCCAAACATCCAACTGATCAGTATACTTGAAGGAAAACTTAACTATTTTTAATACAATATAGATTATTAAAACTAAAGTCTTGTCAGGAAATGTTTCTCCTTGATTTTGTATTTTGTTTAGTTTTAAAAGCTCTGGTTTTTATATCAAAGTTAAAATATATTTAACACACTATGTTTTATTTTTATAGGTCTAGGTGATAGGATTAAACTCTTGCTATAAGTTTTGTAGTGAAACATTCATAAAATAGAAAACTATTTTCAACCATGTCATTAATTTGAACCATCATAATATTTGCATTTCTTATCTCCTGAGAAATCAGCTTGTATATCATAATAGCAATAACCATTGGTAGCAACATTTCTTCAACATGTTACTTTTAATTTTTCTGTTGTAAATATAAAGTTATCAGTTGAAAGACTCAAATCAATATTATTTCTGTATAAAGTTGTTTCATTAATCTAACAGTCCAGTGTTCTATTTCTGATTCAGGAAAGGATATGGAAACATTCTCAGCCCAACCAAGAAAAAACAAAACAAAAACAAACTCAAATTAAAAAGATTTTTTTACATGTCAAGAATAAAAGTCAAACTTGGACCTTCATGCCGACAAAAGAAAAAAAAAAAAAAAAAAAAAGTGTCAAAATATTTTTTTCCTTTGACACTGCTAATATCTTAACTTCCTTCACTCCAATGCTTTTTGTTGTAAAAAGCAATGATTAGAATTGTAATATAACCTAAACATATGCTGAAAGTGAATTTGTTTTTTTGTTTTTGAGAATTTAAAACAAAAGTATTAAACACTATTAGACTGTTTATTTACAAAAATAATTTTCTATTTACAACATTCTAAAAATTAATTGTATTAAAACTAATGCAATGTAATATTTATCATTTGCTAATTTATAAAGAAGTAAATAGGTAAACATTTTTTATTCATAAATTTATAAACATTTATTAAATTATTACAGTATGTGATATGTGAACCACCTATAAATGAAATCCTTATTTACCATTTTATGAAGTTTGAATCAGTTGGCAATTAACCAATGTTTTGCCAACCATTCCAATAAACAATAGTGTAAACAATCTAATGAATAAATAGTGTTTATTATTTTTGTTGTCAGTTCTCAAGAACAAAGAAAATGTTTCACTTTCATATGTTTAGGTTTTATTAAAATTCTAATCATCACTTTTTAAAACAAACATTGCTGAGGAGTGAAGGTAGTTAAAATAATAGTGGAGTCAAGGGAAAAACCAATTTTGACACACTGTTTTTTTTTTTGTGGGCATGAAGGTGCATGTTTGCCAAATAAAATAACTAAGTAGAATGTTACAAATAAAGATTTTCTTTTATAGAAAAAAAAAAATCTTTGTTCACTGACATAACAATTACTACCATATTGTGGTAAATACTGTGTTTGTAAATGCTACCAAGACATTCAAAGAACTATTTTCGTTTTTTGGCAACACTTGTAGTTTTGGTTAGTATTTGATACCATCCACCTTTGTTCTCTGCTTTTTTTTTATTTTAAATGTAATTTCACCATTGATAAAATATGGTTGTTTTCTTTTTTTTTTTTTTCTTTCCTCGATACAATGTTAAAATTTTCCTCCTTTGTAAAAAAATTTAATAGCTGTATATGCATATATAATTGTGCACTGATAATCTCTTCATACCATATAATTTTCTACAGTTTTATTTACATTCCAATATTACTCCTGGAGTTCCTCCTGCAAATGGGGATGCAGGTTCGAATCCTGTCAGAGGGTACATTTTATTTATTAACATTTAACACACTGCATTATTCAGTACTTTCTTTTCCACTGCATTGTTTTTCAAGGTTCCTCTACTGCACTACTTAATTTCAGTCATGATTATTTTCTGTTGCCATAGTAGGATACAACAACACAACTGCAAAAGTAAAATGCTCTACCATTCATTTGAGTCAGTTGGAGTGGCAGGATAAAATTTTTGGTTTGCAAACAAAATCATGTCCAGTGTGTTAAAGGTTAAGATTTCTCGAGTGTGCAGGTCATAGATGTAATAAACACCATTTAAAAAAGAAAAAAAAAGAAAAAAGAAAAAAAAAAAAAGCATGCACTCAAATATGGGTCTCCACTAAAAATAACATTTGATTTGTTTTCTACAGCTTATCAACCAGGTTATTTAAAGTCAGAAAATACTTTAGATTGTAAAAATTCTTTTTTGAGATAATATTGTTTTAGTGATACAAATCTTACTAATTAACCCATAGCTGGAGGTAGGAGAAGTAGATTCATACCTTTCCCAAGGGTATTTGCATGTAAGAGAATATAAGGAATCCAACTGGAATTGGAACCCAACTCTTCAATTAACAATTCCAAGCCATTATCCATTATATTATTTGTACATCCAAGCTTACAGCACCTGATATTCCAAAGTGGTCACTTATTTAGGTACTTAACAAGCTCAATGTTGTTTAACTTTGGTGATTGTATGGGAACTGGTGTTTCAATATGATGCAGCCATAAGCCAAAAATAACGTTTAAAGTAATAAGAATATTATTACATTGTAAATAAATACCAAACATCGTTTTGCTAAGATTAAGAGTTAAGTGTTATATTGGGCAATACTTATTAAAGATAAAATTTTATCTAATATTTAAGACATCAAAATTGGAAATATTGGCACATGTAAAGAGTAACGTTGACCATCAATATTAAGCTTTAAATTGAATCTATCCCATGTTCCCAGTGAAAGAATAATATTAACTAAAACTGGGATTGCTTGTTTCTATCTAAAGATATTATAATAATTATTATAATTAATGTAAAATATTAGAAAATTTTGAAATCAAGGTTTTTTTTGTACTTACTGAGTTTTTTTTTTTGTTTAGAAACAAGAAAACATTGAAGTGTTTTAGGGAACAGGATTTATTTTTGACAGTGTCAGGAAGCTACAAATACAAGGGATAGGTTAATTGACCCAAATAAAGGGGGGTAAAAAGAAATTTCAAGTCCAGTTTGTATTGATACAGCAAATGAAACCTGGACATTTTAGCAAGAGTAAGGCATGTGAGAAAAGCAAGTATCTTTGTAATATTTGTAAGCATGTCTTCACCACATCTCATTGAGAAACATGGGGAGGGGGATCAAATAAAATTTTGAATCAAATAAAAGTCAATCATTGAGAATATTTTAAACTATCAGTATTAAGCTTTAAAATTTTAAACACAAAGAGAAAAAAAAAAAAAAAAAAAAAAAAATTATATCCTCTTCAAATATATATTTTTTAATAAGTCCTAAGATTTAAATTTTCAAAATCATATTTGGAAGTGGTTTACAGTTATGTGATTGGTTAAATAATTTGAAAATAAATAACATCAAACTTTTGTTGGCAGGTAAAACATTACTCAGCAAAGTACATCAAGTTCATAGATGTATTTTAAAAATTATAGGTGATTATTTCAAAAGAATTCATTCGAAATCTCTGAAGAAGAATAAGTGTACCAGGGCAGAAGTGGATGAGAAGAGAAAAAAAAAGAAAAAGAGTCTTGTTATATTCATATGCAAATCTCCCCCATGTAAATAGCAATGTATACATTGCTGGAGGCTAAACTAATTCTGAACCTTGAACATGAAACTACTAGAGAAATAGTAGTGAATAGAATGTTATAAACTATAATTAGTCAAAAGTATTCACTACTATTTCTCTAGTAGTTTCATGTTCAAAGTTCAGAATTAGTTTAGCCTCCAGCGATGTATGCATTGCTATTTACATGGGGGAGATTTGCATATAAATACAAGACTCGTGTACGTATGTTTGTCATAAACATGCGAAAAATCCCTAAAAATAACAGCCTTATTTTTTCTATTTTAGGATTCATACTAGAGTGTCATATTAATAATGCAAGCCATATATTGCAATATCTCATATATATATATATATATATATATATAAAAACAGTTTTATGGTATGCTATATTTATAGGTTAAAATGCTCAATATCAGGAGTAGAACATATGTAAATATAAAAATGGACTTTGAGGTCAATACCTAGCAGGAGCAGTATTTCAGGCACGACAATTGCATTTAACATTTAGCACTCTACATCATTTATAAATATTACTTCCTCTTTTTCTGCACATAGTATTCTTTCAAAGTATAGTGTTTTATATATTAGTTCTATATATTTGAAATTGCAGTAGCCTTGATCTCAATTTCAATCAACATTGTTTTAGGTGTTGACATAGAAGGATATGACTACCAAGAAATTCAAATCCATCATGCATTAGCAGGACTAAAATTTTGCTGGGTGAAAACAGTCACCTACAGAGTGCTAAAGTTTAAGCATGACAGAGACTGACCTCAATATATATATATATATATATATATATATATATATATATAAAACTAAAACAAAGACTTATGATTTTTCTCAAATTTCTAAAAAATAGTACAAAACTTATAATATAGTAAAGAAAATAGCATACAGCTACCAAATTATCAAATCTAAGATTAACCATTTAAGACTTTATAAATGTACTTTTTAGCTTGGGGTATGCATGTTGGGAGGTTACAAAACTCTTTAAGAATTTTAGTAGATTTCTGTGTTCAAAGTAATTGAAATTGTGTGCATAAGGAAAAAGAATGAAAACAATTCTTTCATGATTTTAATGTAGCAAAGTCAAATTCATTTAGCAGATTTTTAAGAATTGATTCAGTGTTAAAGAATTGGGAGAGCACAATAAAATAAGCTATCCAGATTTAATACCAAAATAGATAATTATACCAAGAAGATTTTATTAGTTCTTATTGTAAATGTTAAAATATTCTTTATGATTCCTATATATTTATCATGAATGGTTTCCTCAGATTGTTAACAAAGTTCAAAGTTATGTTTGTTTATAACTGCAAATAAACTTTCAACTCTAGAAACTGTAAATAACTGAAAGAGTCCTTTGAATAGAAGCCTATTCTAACATTTGATGAGAAACCAAGTATTTACAGCCATTGTTTTATGAAGTTTCATACTATTTGGACAGAAAAGGGGGGGATAAAACAATTTTAATCAAATAAAACAAATTGTAATCATTACAAAGTGGAAAGAAATTAGGTGTTGTACTAAATCTGTAATACTTTAAGGCAAAGGTAACCAGTCAAAACTTTAAGGTATTTATTATGGAATAAAAGGTTACAGAAAATTCAAAAAGTCTATTTCATCCCAACTGCTTATAAAGGAGAAATTGTTTAGAAAAAAAAAAAAAAACTTTTATTCTGTCCCATGTGAGAAGCTACTTTGGGAAGGAAACACCAAAATACAAATAGTAAAATATTAATTATAAATTTTAAACTCTTAAATTAAGTTATAATGAAAACTTTGTTAATAATAAGAAAGAATTGTTGAATCTTTTATTCTGAATGATATCCAACTTGTCAAATTGAAAGAACTGCAGCAAGGAAAAATAATTATTTGAAACTTTATCAAAAATTGCTTCTGTTTCCAATGTCTGAACAGTTTTGTTGTATTGTTTGTTATATGTTTACGAATAAAGATTTTTATGGCTTTATTAAAAATGTAATCTTCATGCATGAAGATTACATTTACAAATAATATGACCAGCATTTCAAAATTTGTCATGAAGCACTCACTCTCTCACACACAATGAAATGATGTAAGATATTAATCTTAAAAGTCAAACTACATTTATCACCTTAATACCTTCAAAATCATTTTTTGATAAGATGTGGACTTTAATTTTTCAGAAAAGAAATGAAATTATGAATCCTTGGTCCTTACCATCTCATCCCTGTCATACATTTGCCGGACAGTACCATTGTATGCTGAGGCTTGATAAATGGTTGTCAGTTGTTCAAGGTGGCGCTTCTGAAGTTCAATCTTTTGGTGATAATCAGACCGGATTTCATTCACTCTCTGCTGAACTGTGTCAGAGTGGGTGGTTAAGCCATCAGGGTCCAAGTGCCGAGTCAGACTGAAGCTTGACTGGTTATGTGCTATACTTGATGGTTTTGTCAGTGGTTGAACCTATAATCAAAACATTGTCATTTAAAGTGAAGCAGAACATGTGAGAAGACAAGCAAATATTTGCTATGCAGAAATCAGGAGAGACAAGTAAAGCACAAATAATTGCAATCTCCAAGCAGAGAGTTTTTTTGGGTTTTTTTGAGGCCCCCAATTAAACTGTTCTTGTAGATGAAATAGTTTTTAACTTGTATGTTTTGTGGTTTTGAAAATTTGAACTAAGGTAATCCAGATTCAATAAATAGTAAAATTCAATACACCTTAGAAGTGAGGGTCAAAACAGAATTAAGAATTCTCCAAGCATGGTTTTCTGTAAATTAATTTATATTCACTTAAATTTTGTATGAGAAACAAGACAAAATATATGTATATTACACACACATCTCACAAATAGGTTAATACTATTTTGTATTATCAAGACTGAGTGTAATGCCAGACAGTTTTAATAAATTTTTAATACAAAAGCACTTAGGAACAGTCAGATCTAGGTATCTAAATAAATAAGTCCTCAGACATCCAAGGATGGTGAATGACCAAGATTTCATAAAACCATACGTACTGTTAGACAGCAATTGGCTATCTCTCAAGAGAACCAGCCATATTATTGGTTTCAAAGTTTTCACAGAACTGTCTGTGCTAGCTAACATCCCAACTCAAATCTTTGTGGCATTTGAGAAATTCTCCATTCCCACACCTGGGCTGTGCGCCTCACTGTTGTTTACACATTGGATCATCAGCCAAACCACTGTGGCAACTGTACTAGGACATCCATTTGTCAAAGGCTGCCACCCAAGTTGTGGCAAGATTTATTTTAACTATAAAAATGCATTTCCACACCTTCAGAGTTCTTGTGACTCTACCACCCCAGGTCAGAGTGAACCTGGGAACAGCAGCAATTAAGACGTGGTTCCACACTCCTCAAAACCTCCAATCTCCTGATCAGAGGCCTTGTGGCAAATGTGGTTTAATGTCATACCCTGCATATATTTAAGAAATTTTTATTGAGAAATTAAGGCCCTATTTTGAAAGAAGAAAAAAATTTCCTGAAAATAAAAAAAATAAAAACAGTAAAACTAACTTGTCAAAGTGTTTACTTTAATTGGTAATTTTACTATACACCATAAGCTCATTAAATGACATAGGAGAAATTCAATCTCACATCCTATATTTAACTAATGACAAATTCTTAAGGCTCTTTTTACTTTTTTAAATTTTTTTCCAAAATACTATTAAAGACTTATGTCGGCATTTTTGTTTAAATTTTACTCTATTGAAACATATTTTGCAAAGTAGTTTGGGTTTAACAAGTCTTGAAGATGGAAATCTTGTTGCTTCGGTGAACTAGGGATAGTGGGGATTTCAATGATGGTGAGACCTACCATATACGCTTAATCAGGTTAATTTATAAAGACATAAGTGTAAAAATTCATAACTTTGATGTCATACATCCAAAATAACATTCAACATTAAAT